ACCCAAACCTGGCACTAGTATTTGCACACTGATGCCTATAGACCAACTGGCCTGATCCAGGTGAACTTTGACCAAGTCAAAAAGACATGTCCACATTGTTTCTACCAGCTCACCTCCCCTTTCCTCACGAGCTCCCCCCACGCATGGTCTCAGCACCCCTCCCACCTCTATCTACTCAGTGCCCGCCTCTCGGCAGGACAGGTTATCAGACCTATTTTGTCTCCAGTGCTCGCCCAGGTTCTACCGGTTATGTTTAGTCTATCACGAAGAGTATCAAGGAAGTCAAGGACTTTAACAAGGTCACAAACCAGTGGGTGATGAGCCAGAGTGCCAACTCAGGTCTGAGGCCATAGCCTGTGTTTGTTCTAAACACTCAGGCTTCCTCGACTGCCATCCCCAACTTTTTATCTACCAAAACCGTGGGGTTCCCTCCATCTGGCTCATGTTAACCTTTCCACACAAAGTCGCTTCCTGTCACCTCCAGTCTAAGCATCAGTGCTCTCTCAGAACTCCTGCTGCTCTGGGGTCCTCCCAGCAGCAATAACTCCCTTATCACCTCATATTATAACTTATTCTACCCCCCCCTTTGTTGCAGTCCTGGGGCCTCACGATGTCCTTTGAACATAGTAGGCACTCAGCTTCTTATAATAAGAGTTGTCTTATACTTTGATATTATTCCAATGGGTGAAATCCCTATCAGGGATGTTAATTTCACCAACTGAACAAAAGAAGTTCAATAATAAGGGCCCTTCTGAGCTCACTAACTGAAAAGATCAGATGAAAGGGCTAATTTTGGCAGCTTGAATATGTTATCAAAGACCCAGGCTCTTTCCCTTTTTTCCTTCCACTACCCCTAGGACATCTGCCTATTCTCTCACAGAGGTGAAAGAGATACTGTGGTTCTAAGAATCACATGTAGACAATTTCTGGTGGCAGACAAGTTTACTGCTTTTTCTTTCTCATTTTATTAGGGAGGAAACATTTTCCAGAAACTCCCCAGCAGATTTCCCCTTAGGTCCCTTTGGTCAGGACTGAGTCATCTGTCCATGCACTAGTTGCAAGCAGTCTGTGGAAGCAGGATCTGACACTTCCAGCCTTTATCGCAGGAGCTGGCTCAGCCAACCAGGGAGAAATGGAAAGAAATGGTGCTTGCACAGGCAAGCTATTATTTGCAAATAAACTGCTAGAGAAATATTAATGCAATGGTAAGTTATGTACAGTGAGAACCCTCAATGTCCAAAGAGATGAATTAGCATAAGAAAAGCTGCTCATCAGGGGGCGCCTGGGTGGCTCAGTCCAATGAGCATCAGACTCTTGGTTTTGGCTCAGGTCATGATATACGGGTCTTTCAATTCAGTTGAGCCCCTCGTCAGGCTCTGCACTCAGCGGGGAGTCTGCTTCAGTTTCTCTCCCTCCCTACGCCCCTCCCCCTGCTTGCATACTCTCTAAAAAATAAGTAAAATCTTTAAAAAATGTTTGCTAATCGGGTATAGCCCTCCCGTTGCAATAGGGTGCTGACTGCACTACAGCTGGGGGGTGGAGGGAACATTGCTGGAGTCCCCCAGTCCTTCAGGCAGTAACTTGTAAATACATTCCTTTCCGTTGGAAACAACCTCTTCCACCACAATGACCATAAGGAAGGAAGGAAGGGCATGGAGGAAAGAACCTAGCCCTTTCATTTCCATACAGTTCTCCAAAGGATGACAATAGGCAAAAAAAAAAAAAAAAAAAAAAAAAAAATCCAAGAGATTTAAAGAACAGAAGTGATATCCAATATTTACAGGTCTTTGCCTCTTTTCCTATTCTTTGCTGCTCCTAACAGGACATTTTCCTTGCATCACCATGACCACGACTGCCATCATCTATTTCCTGTTTTAGAACCAACACAGATACCTATCAATGGGGAACCACCTAAGAAAATTCTAGTACAATGGAAAACAAGGCAGCTGCTAAGTAGGGAAGTGAATGTGAATGGGCCCTCATGGAAAGCTATCCAAGCTGAACTGTTAAGGCAGGAAAGCAAGATGCAGAGCTATGTCTATACACACTCATTTGTGCTTAAAGAGAGGTACAGTGTTGGGGTTTATATAAATAAAGTGTACTCTACTCATATGGAAATTTCCAGAAGGATATCTCAGGAACTGTGAACGGTAGTTACCTCTGAAGAACAGGGTTGGGAATCTGGGGGCAGAAATACATTCTGTTTTATATTCTTTTTTGGTAGAGTTTGTTTTTACTCATTTTGTTATTTTCAGATCTTTAACAAAGTTCCTGGTGCTTATACCCTCCAAGTGAGACTAATATGCAAACACCTTTAAAATTTCATTAGCACACTCCAGATACTTCCTTGTCCCCTCTTAGGCCCTATGATTTTAGTAATAATAGCAAATAATATATATATTTTTAAAAAAATAGCAAACTAAGTGGCCTAAGTATTCAGGATGATAAGTCAAAGAGAATCTTACAGAAAGACTATCTGGTGATTGATTGCGTACAGAGCACGTGGCTCCTAAGGGCCAGTCTCTTGTATTTGTAATTCTCAGATTTTAAAGTCTGGGTTTGCCCTTTGAGAAGGCCTATCTCTTCAAGGTTAAAGTTTCTCGGGATCCAAAAAAGGATATGACTACTACTACTTCATTTTTTGAGGGTTCCAGAACTTAAACAAAGCAATGCTGAAATCAGATTACAAGATATTTTTTAAATGTTTACAAATTCTCAAAACACTAAAAATCATTTGGCACACACCTAGAGACCCAGAAATTCCATTTCTAGGAACAAGTGCCCATGTTAAAGAAGTGTGTATTAAACACATTCATAGCAGCAAGGTTCACAACAGAAAACCACCACCACAACCCAGAAATAACCCAAAGGTCTACAGGCAATAGAATATGTGTGTGTGTGTGTGTGTGTGTGTGTGTGTGCGCGCGCGCGCGCGTGCGCACGCGCGCGCTGGATGCTTTTGTATAGTGGAATGAGAGGAACCATAGCTACAAGAATTAAAACGTAAATCTTTTCTAAACAAATGAATCAAAGAAAACCACATGAAGTATGAATTCCTCTTTCTAAAGATCAAACGCAGGCAAACTCCTATTTGGGTATAAACACACAGGTGGTGAAATGACAAAGCAAAAGCAAGGGAATGGTTACACACCTTAAGACAGAATGACCTCTTGGAGGAGGGGAGGCTTGTGATGGAGGGACATGCAATCGGGGAAAAAGTCATAGGGTCAAGTTCAACTTCTTACCCAGGGTTTTAGGTGCAGGAATGTTTCATGTTATTTTTTAAATGAAATATCTTTTGGGTGTAGCATTTTACAATTTACAAACATTTAAAAATAAACACCACAGAATAAGATACACAGTGTAATAAACACTGTGTGTACATATGTTTAAGTTACATGATGAGTAACATCTATCTTTTAATCCCACTGGTGTGTCTGGCTCTGTACTTCACTCTTGGTTAATGTCTAAATCTGAGGACCCGACTTAACTTGTGATCTGGACTTAAAGGCCTCTGGGCCACTCCAGTGGGGACTGACTTGGCCTTTCTGGGTCACATCCAGGAGTGGTAAAGGATGTAGTCAAAACAGTGAGAGCCCCCAGTTTTCCTCATCCTACAGATGAACCCCCAGGCAGCCTGCAAACCACCTTCATTTGCACTGGAGGAACCCACTCCTCCTGGGCCAGCTGCAGGATGGGAATCGGGAGGAAGAAGAGCTGGGAGGGGCCTGCCCACATTGAGAAGGCTTCTCCAGAAAAGTCTTGTCAACCAGCAGCAAGAAAAGACCCCTTCCTTCTGAAGAGTCCCTCACAGAGGCAGTGGTAGTTTTATAACCAGTTCTCCGGTGGTTTGGGAAGTAATTTTGCCCTTTCATTCCAACCCAAACGGTATACAACCACTGCACTCACAATGCTGGGAGGCTACTAAGATGGTTTGTTGTTAGAACAACAGGCCCTCCATTTTTTTTTTTTTTTTTTTAGTAACAGAAATTTAATCTCCAAGATGCAAAAAATCTAATGATAACCAGAAAATTCTTCCCATTTGCCATGCCTCTCTTCCATCCTCAATAATTTGTTTCTAAAGACTGGGAATCATTACCAAGAGTAAGCCCACCTTTGCAATATTCTAGATCAACCTCTGATGCCAAACTCACTGGAAACAAATTACTTGAATAAATGTGTTCAAGTATTGTCAGGTCCAGGAAATGGAAGAAAGACTGTATGTGTTTTGTACCGATGAACAGAAACAGTCCATGGCACAGGCGCACACACACATACACACACACACACAGTCACAAACTGAACAGACATTCCCAGGAGATCAGGCAGCTCCCAGGGGCAGGGCAAAACAGAACACTGGCCACCCCGCGGGGAGCCCTGCCTCCATCACCAAGGGGCGGTGTCCCTGGACAGCAAGAGGGGCCCTGGGTGATACAGATGTCCACTTCCCCCACTGCTGCTTCCTCTCCCAGCCCTGCTGTGGCTGGGGGACGGCCACCACACCCGTCTGCCTCATTGTGGAGAGACAGTGGCTGACACTGTCCCACACAGTCTGTTTTACCCAGCCCCAAGTTTCCAGGAAAGGGAGGTTTCAAGGAGACCCACTTCTGAGAGGACTCGGGGTTAGAGTACAAGGTCAGACCCACTTCCGCCTGTTTAGCTCCGGGATTACCTCCCAGGTGTCTGGGAAGCGGGCAGAGAGCCAGCTCGGTTTCCAGCCAGGAGCTGGCACCGCTCCAATCCAAGTATTTGCTCACCTCTTAAATCCCACAAGCTGCATGGACATTTTTAAAGGACCCAGCATTACAAGCTTTGGTGGTTCAGGAGTTTAGGCCATTTAAATACCTAGAAACCCATGGGGCAATGAGGGAGGATTTGGGGCAAGCACAAAAATAATCTCTATTTCTCTTAAGCACCTCATAAACTCTGAATGACCACAAAGCTCTACAACACATAGTTACACAGGCGGCTGAAAGGGGAGAGCAGGTGAAGGGACTTACCAAAACCGCACAACAGGAGAGAGGGCAGACCCGGACCGCGACCAGCGTGCCTTCCTGCCCGAGAGGCATCTGAGTCTGCAGGGCGGGCAGGCTGCGTCTTTCGACAGCACCTACCTTGTGACTCAGCCCAGACTCTGGAGATACCGCCTGCATATCTCTGGGCATTCCCGTGTTTGCCTCCGAGATTCTCCACGCCCTGCACCGTGAGCAGCACAGCAGCCGGCCATCAGACACCGTGTGGGACCCGGCGCTGCCCCAATGGGTTTTCTGTGCTGCCGCGAGACGCTCTCTATGGGGGGGGGTGCAGACTGGAAGGGAGGCCCATTATCCCACAACTCTGGGATGGCCAGGGGACCCCAGAAGACACTCAGTCTGGCACTCCTGGTTTGTTGATGAGGAAATGGGCTCAACTCAACAAACTTTGGTCAGGCAGAGTCCGGGCAGAGCAGTGAACTGAGCACAGGAAACACCAACATGAATGATGGCAGAGCGAGTGGGAAATGGTCCCAACGCCTTGGGAAAGGCATTGGCTCAGAAAAAGTGAGAGGAGTCGGGAGACTCTTTGCTCTGTGGCCTCATTCACGAGGCAGACACTCCCTGGTGCCTCTGAGTGTCAGGCACAGTGAGGCGTGCTAGTGTCGCAAGGGGGCACAGCCAGAGAAACAATGGCAGCCTCTGAGGACAGGACAGCCTGGAGTCCAGCCCCGGGGGCAGGGAGGAGGGCTGGGGGGAAGGGATGAGAATGAGACAAGGCAGGAAGAAACTTGTCACTCAGAAGGTGCTTCAGGTAAAGCAAGTTCTGAACTGGTCAGCCGGACAGCAGATGAGGACCCGGGGGACTCAGCGCCAGGTGAGGAAGGCAGAACTGAGCGGCCGATGACGGGGATCAGACCTGGAGGGTTCCTGCGCAATCGTGCTAGGGGGTCTGCATTTCACCCCACAGGCCACGAGTGACAGCTGCTAACGGGATTAGGATGCCCAGATCCCGGGGTCAGACCGGTCCCTGTGAGGGAGCAGTCCGGCGGAACACACTGGCGCCTGGTGTAGGACTGACTGTAGGGCGAGAGTTTGCGGACGCCGGGCAGGGCAGTACTGGGAAGGAGAGTGCGCTCGAGGGACACCAAGGAGGCAGGGTCAAAAAGATTTGCCCCAAACTGGATGTGGGGATTATAAGGGAGAGTCAAGGAAAATCCCATGTCTCTTTCATTCCTAATGGTGGCCGATAAGATCATTCACAAGACAGAAAACTAGGGAGAGGCAGGAGGAGGACATGGGAGTAGAGTAGGATTCCGCTTCAGATGGGGATGGATTTGGGGTTCCTGTGGGACGTCCAAGTAACTACAGGTGTCCAGATGAGCCCCAAGGGAGGAAGGGGCTGAAAACTGGAGCCCACGACGACAATGCCCGGGGGCAACTTACTGAGGGGGCTACGCAGGGACTTGAAAGGTCAGGCAGATCTGATCAAATCCCCGCTGCCATTTAGTAGCTATATGACCTTGGGCAAATAAATTAATCTTTTTGAGACTCTGATCTCGTCTGAGGAAATTCCTCCTAGAAAAATCAAAGAAGGACCTGCTGTCATACCAGACACAAGATATTTCATATTTTTTCCTGCCCTTCTGTGATCATATACTGTGATCATATATTGCTTCACATTATAACCCTGCAACAGATTACAAGCTTTCCTGCTGTCAGTCATTTATCTTTAAATCCCTTTTGACCTCCCTTGCATGAACAGATTTGCAAATATTTGAATTGCCATAAGTCACATGAAAAAATCAGGCCGCAGAGCCTGAGTGGCTCAGGTCATGATCTCAGGGTCCTGGGATCAAGTCTTGCATTAGGCTCCCCTGCTCAGCAGGGACAGGTGACAAGCACCTCCCAGCTCTCTAGTAGCTGGCTCATTTAATAATTTTGATTAAACACCGGGAATGATTCAATTCAGGGCTATCGTTTTCAGAACCTGTTTGATTCCTGTCTTCCACCTGACCGCATGTGGCCTGCCTCAAGCATGACCAGTTTGAGAGCGCGCTCTGGTCCCTGAGTGATGGGACAGAGCAAGTACCCACTCCTCAACACACCAAATCTAACCTGAGGTTCTTGCTGCTCCCAGACTGTGTGGACTCTGGATGGCTCCCCTTAAACTTACAATATAGGGCACCCGCGTGTCTCAGTCAGTTAAGCGTCTGCCTTCGGCTCAGGTCATGATCCCAGGATCCTGCGATCGAGCCCCGCAGCGCAAAGCCTGCTTCTCCCCCACCCGCTCCCCCTGCTTGTGTTCTCTCTTGCTGTCTCTCTGTCAAATAAATAAATAAATAAATTTTTTAAAAATAAAAAATAAAAAAAAAATAAACTCACAATATACCTGGCCATCCCTCTTAGCCAGCCTCTAAAAGATTTCAACTCTCACTGACCTACAGACCCAGGATACCTCCTACTGCTGTCTTGAATAGACCCGAACTTCCCAGACTCTGAATAGATTCACCTCATTTTCTGTGTGTGTGAGAGATCCTCTCCCATCTTGCTGCCAGTAGGAGGCACAATAGAGGCAGGTGGACAGCGAGATCAGCTGGCATCTGGCATCTGGGGCAACAGCAGCAGCATCCCCAGAGCACATAGCTCCTGATCCGTACTGTTCTCTCTCAGATGCCAGGAGATGCACGCAGTGTGGGTCAGAAGATGTCTGAGAAGTAATTCTTTCAATTTAAACATCACTTTGAAACACACACATACCCCTAACTAGACCATGAAGGCATAAGAGGTTACGAATAACGAAGAGCATCTCATCACCGCGATGCCTCACTCAGAACTGTCCTACTCCATCTACCGAGAGAGCTGTTCATACCCAGGGAACCGTAATCTAGGGCCTCAGTTTCTCACAATCACTTTATGCTCCAAGATTGTCTTCCTTTCTTCAGAACCCAATTCAGGTTCTGTGACTTCATCTGACCCAAAGAATTCTACAGGCAAATTCAGGGTTACTTACTTGCTTTACTAAGCTCCTCCTCTATTTTCTTCTCCCTCCCTCCCTTCCTTAGATACCTTTTAAATTCTTTTTTATGAAATATATTTATTAATTCCTCCGACCAGCAGCCCTGAGGTAAGTCTCGGGTTTCACGCTAAGCAGACAGGACAGTCAGCCGCTCACCTGCAGCAGCAGAACAAACCGGGCCAGGAACATCTTTTGAAAATAAAAGATTTCACCAGTTAAATTGGTAAAACTGGAAAGACATTCTGTTCCCATCTTTCTGTATTTAAAAAGACACACACCCCTTGACCCAACAAGGCCGCTTTTAGAAATTTAACCACATATAGTTACAGGAAAAAAGATGTACAAAAATATTCAGTGGAGTATAACAAAGCAAATAAACACAGAAGGAAAATCATCCTAGAAAGAACTTAAATTGCGTATCAATAGGAGATTGGTTAAATAAAGGATACATTTTGTGCAGAAAACATTTCTGTAAAGGATACGTAAGAAACAATGGTTCTTATCTCTGGGTATAAAGATTATAAGTTAGAACATTTTCCACCTTACGTCCTTTATGGGATTTTTTCCTATAAACTTGCACTCTAAATTAGCTGGTTAATGGTGGGGGGGGGAGCGAACCTTCGTATTTAGGCTTAAAGCTCTACTACATTCTACATTCAGTATTATTCAATCTTTGTTAAACAGGAAATAGAACAAGCAAGGCACAAACGGAAACTCAAGAGAGCAGATACATGATAAAATGTGTTTGCTCTAACAGCTAATGATTTCATCACTCAACTATAGGAACTGAAGAGTTCATCTCAGAAGATGAGTTTGTTTTTTCCTCAAGCACCTCCTCTATGTGTTATAGACTCTTCTATAATCTAAATGGCTTGATTAAACTATGGATCTTGTGCTAAACATGTGTTTACACTTAAAATCAGTTTTACTCTGGAAAATGGAGTAAGATTGGGAAAAGAGAAGCCCACTTTTGTCAAACCTTAAAAAGAAATACAGACACACCCTCAAATTAAAAAAAAAAAAAAAGAAGAAAGAAAGAAAGAAAGAAAGAAAGAAAGAAAGAAAGAAAGAAAGAAAGAAAGAAAAAGCAAGACGAATGCTCAGGCCCTTTATAGGACTTACTGAATCTTTGGGTCTGGGAGTCCAATCTCTGTATTTTGGACAAGCTCCCCAGGTAAGTCCTATGTTGCTGGTACTGTGCCGTGCACACAGGAAGTAACTACGCTTAGCAAACACCATGTCTTATCCAAAGGAAACACAGCATAGAGTGGAAAATTCTGTCAACAGAGGTGTTCACTACTGATTATTTATTTATTTGAGTGTGTGAGTGACGAGGGGCAGAGACAGAAAGAGAGAGAGAACTAACTTCAAACAGGCTTCCTGCTCAGCGCAGAGCAAAATGCAGGTCTCAATCTCACGACCCTGAGATCATGACCTGAGCCAAAATCAACAGTAGGACACTTAACCGACTGAGCCACCCAGACACCCCTAAAACAAATAACTTTTAAAAAAAGTGATACGGTGTTTGGAGTAGCAGTGGGTGTACGCAGAACCCTCCAGGCCCTGCCATCAACCCAACTCTTCCGGCTCATCTGTGGCTGACAGGGGCAGTAATGCATTAGAGCCATCTTTGGGGCTGGGAGGGAGTTCAAAGGACGTAGATCAGTGTTTTTCAAGTGATGGCGGCAACCACCTGATTCCTGACCTGGACAGCAGTGCGGGGTCCAAACCAGCCCATGTGCATTAAACAGCCTCCTCGCTCCCTCCCACCCCGCACCATTCTTATGCCCAAGTGAAGTTTCATAACCGCTGAGCTAGTCTGGTATTTCGTGAACATCCCACTGTAAGATCATCTCAGGCTCCTGCTATCCCAGCCCCACCCCAGACTCAGTGAAGCAAAGTCTCTAACAGAGGTTTCGTGTGTGAAAGCAGCGCCCCAGGTTACTCTTATAAATGGGGAGGTTTGGGACACACCAATTCAGGTCAAACTCATTTTAAGATCAAGAAACCACGGTCCAAAAAAGTTAAATAATTTCCCCGAGAGACTTAATACCTGATTAGCTGGGACATCGAAAACCTGGCGAAGTCATTTCTTCCTCTTAT